TTCCTTCCATCCCACGAGGTCTGGACAGTCATTTTGCAGGTTCATCTCTCACAGCTGTAGGTGGGTCACCCCCCTACTCAAGAAGCTGCCAGCAGGCATAGCTTGACCTTATTAGTTGCAGAGGATATCGCAGTTGTCATTGTGCATCAGGGAAGCAGTCTAAAATTCAGCCTCCCACTCAGCTTCCATCCTGATTACTGGCAACTTACATGGGGGAGATACCGGTTATTACAGTAAGGGCATGGAGCCCATGACAGAATAAGTAAGAGGAGCAGTTATTTATTGAATACCTACTCTATGCAAGGCACAGTTCAGTGACATTTTAAAAATTGGGCCACCTTCCTTGTTTAGCTGTCCCTAGTTGGAGCATTGTGATGTTTAGCCAGAGATGCACAGATGCACCAGTGCCTTAGTGTGGTCCTTCGTTCCCAGCATACACTGTGGAGATTAAATGTGTAGGGGAGAGAATTAACCACACCACCTAAAGAGGTTTGCCTGGGTACTCTGGCATAATAAACAGACCATCAGAAATCTCTTGTGCAAAGTACTTAGCAAGGTATTTCCTGCTCTAGCCCCCACCCTATGTCAGGAAGTACTATTACTGCACCTCCAAAATATAAATGCAGTATCAACTTACCTCCCCATCTTCACTATGACCATCCTAGTTGTAGTCAGCATCATTTCTCACCTGCTCTACAGCAATGAGTTCTTAACTGGTCCTCCTGTCTCTACTCCTACCTCCTGGCAATCCAATCTCTACACATCAGCCAATGGGACCTTTCTTTTAAATCAGTGTCATTGAGGTAAAACATGTGTAAAATGTACACATTTTAAGAGTATTTGATGAATTTTAACAAATATATATACCCATGTTATCACAGTAACAGTCAAGAGATAACACTTCCATCATCCTAAAAAATTTCCTTGTGCCCCTTTGTAGTCATACGCCAAGCCCTAGACAATCACTGATCTGCCTTCCTTCACTATAGATTTGTATTCTTTTTCTAAAATTTTGTGTAAATGGGCTTGAAAAAAAAATCAGATCATGTACTGCACTTACTTAAACCTTCTAATGAATTTATATCTTAGGTAGAATAACATTCAGATCCTTTACCGTGGCCTGCAAGTTGCCATGTGATCTGGCCCCTGTCTACTTCTGCTTCCTCTCCAGCTTCTCTCCTTCCTTCCTTGTGCATAAACCACATGGGACAAACTTCATTACAGATTGTCACCTCACCATGCACATTTATGCCTCAAGGTCTTTGAATTTGCCACTGTTTCTCTTAAGATGCTTTCCCCATCCTCCCCAGCATTTGCTTGACATTCAGATCCTTACTTTATTACCTCATCCTCAGAGAACTTTCTTTGACCTTCCTCTAAAGTTATCCTTGCCCCAACTCTTTTTGCTTCATGACCGTTATTATCACATGTGTTTGTTGACTTTCTTCTACATCTTTCTCTGATAGAATGTGAACTCCATGAACAGATGGGCAGTGGCTGTCTTTTTGGCCACTGTATGGCCAGCTCCAATAGTCATATGTGGTGGGTGGTAGGTTCAACACACCTGTTGTTGTTATGGGTGTCATATTTGTTCGGAGTAGGCACTCCATTGACAGATGGTGTCTGCGTTTCGCATTTGGACTCTAGTGGAAGCCTTCCGTTCCCACTGATAGTCACACTAAAGGATTTATCATCATATCCACCTTCTGAAGCTCATGGGCTCCGGATGGCCCCAAAGTTAACTGAGTCAATAGGCTCATTAAGATTGGAGAAAGATGAATTAATGGAATGTAAATGTATGGTACCCACGAGTCTTCCAGCCTTCCTCCATCATTAACCCTGTTGCTTAATATAGTTCCAATCTGAGCTTTAGAAAACAGGCTGCAGGGTGAGGAGGGGGAAAAGCCAAAGGGGAGTAGAGATGAGAGACCAAAATCACTTTATAAAAATCTGCTAAAGGCACAAAATAGGAAAGAAAATCTTTGAGCTGCAGGAGACCCAGACTGTTAAAAACCTTCTTTAGGTTGGGAGTTGGTGGCAGAGAGGAGATAAAAAGTGATTTTAGATTGTGAGTACTTGGAAAGTGACAGTGTCACTGAAAGCGCAGACTAGTGATTAGAAAGGAAATTTTCCAGCAGGACTGTTAGAAATGTGGAACAAGTTCAGAATTACAGCCCCAAACGGAATATTCCTGGTAAAATGTATTCTATAGAAATACGACATCCAGGGTAATTTGGGGCTGTATTTTTAGGACTTTTACACTGATTGCCCACAGGGCTTAGCTGGGATTTCTTTCCTCTGAAGACTGCATTGTACGATTAGATGAGGAATTACAGGTCAGAGTCCACCTGCCTCCAGAGCCTCAGGATTTCGCTCCCAAGAGGCAAGACGTGAGCTGAGCTCAGTCTGTGACAAATCCTTGGGCCTCTAGGGAAAGCAGTGTTTCCTGGAAAGAGGCCCTGACTTCTTTATGGATTCAATTGGCAGTTTTCAACTAGAGCGAAGCATCCAGTTGCCCCAGGAGTTTCTTGGCTCTGCTTTCCCCCTCCTTATCACTGGCTGTGACTCAGCATGTGTGTGCTGGAGGATTGGAGAGGGGCTGAATGGCCGGTACCAGCCCGTTGGTCCAAGGTCTCCCTCTTCTTTGCTATTCACTCTTGTATTGAAGATCTAATAGATCCCTACCCCTAATTTACTGTTAAGAACAGCAGGAATGAGGGGTTGTTGGGGGTACTATTTGGGAACTTAGCTGCTGCCTTGTTACTTATGAAAGCTCCAGTGTGACCTTTCAATACAGTACTCAGATTAGGATCCCTTAGGTTAAAGGTACCATGAAGATGAGATATGGAAACCTGATACAAAGGTTGGGAGGAAAGAGGAAGTGGTATTAAAACTAGATGACCCTCAAATAATCTGACATTTTACAAAGTTGATTTCCTTCCTTGATGGAGGGGGACATATCTTCCATCACTTAGTAATTCCCACCTGCCATCAACGGTCCTAGGAACATAGTTGCTAGTTATTAGTTCAGTTAAATCCAGCATTTCTTGAACACTTACAGTGGCCAAAAGATTTTGTTAGATGACATAAGAGATAAAAAATATGGTGAGAGGGGTACTTAGGATCTCAAGGTCTATTGACGGGTTTTGAGGTTTGTGAACTCCCAGAAATTGAATGCAAAACTCTGTGTGTACTTGCCTTTGCCTGCTTTTTCTTGGGAAAGAGCCCTCCTTAACTTACATCAGAATCTCAAACTTTGTACTTGACTCTGAAAAGATTAAAGACTAAGGATCTAGTTGCTCCTACAGTTGATTAATTCATCACATACTGCGTCCTGTGACTGTGCCTAACTAAGGAAAAAAGGGGCGGCTTCAAGACATGAACGCTGGTTCTTCCGCTGTCTGGGAGGCAGCTCCTAGGGTATGCACAGTTTCAATATTTAGTTCTATATCTTCCTGATAGGGAAAGGGGAAGGGAAATAGAGAAGGGCCTTTGGAACAGGCTGTTCGTTGATTCTGTTAAGTTGACGATAACTCTGAAAAGGTAAAAGCAACAGCTATAACTACTAGCTTGTGGTAGGTGCTTAGTACACGTTTGCTAATAGGAAGAAAGATGACAGGAAGGAAAAGAGAGGCCTGTAAAGCTTTCCTGCCTGGTCAAAAGGTGCAAAAGAATTATAGAATACAGTTTCTTGCAGTGGCTTGAGAGTCATTGTCATAAACCTCTCTTATTAATTTTTGGTGATTTCACCTTGACAGATTTCCAAAACTGCTCAGGTCAAAAAAAAGTTTACAGTTAAAAAAGTGAAGATGAATTACGTAACACCGTTGGTATTCAAACATTCATGTAGACTATGTAACTTGCTTGAAGAAATGAAAAAAAAAAAAAAAAAACTACAGAATTTTCTCCTTGTACCAGCTGGGGGCAATCCAGTACTACAAATGTGAGAGCAGAGAAGATAATACACCAAAAAGATCGTTTCTAATGTTGCTGCCACTGTGTGAGCTGGTGTCTTTTCTTCTCAAATTAGTTTATCTTGGTCTCTGAAAGCCATGGCAACAGTGCAGAGCGGTGGTGGCCAACAGAAAGCATCCTCTTTCCTTTCTAATGGCAGGTCCCCCATACCAAAGAATCCTTAGGTTAGCTGGCAACTGAGCCTCCCAGTCTTCAGACTGCCCGGTGTTGAAGTCTGTGCCTAGCAGCTGGTTATGGTCACAAGCTGGGCGTTCCCTTGGCCAGGGATGTCCTGCTCTGTCGGGTGGTACATAAGGCCCTCTATTAAGCCTGTCTGTCAATGGATAATCCCCAAGTGATAATGCATTTCTTAGGAATGTCATGGGATCACTTACAATATTACTCTGATCATGTGGTTTGTAATTGAGCCCATATACACTGGCATTCTACCACTTGTCTGTCAGTTTGTCGTACTGTGGGGGCTTTCATGTTGCTATAATGCTAGAAGCTATGCCACCAGTATTTCAGATACCAGTGGGGTCACCCATGGTGGACAGGTTTCAGCAGAGCTTCCAGGCTAAGACAGACTAGGAAGAAGGACCTGGAGGTCTGCTTCTGAAAAAATTAGCCAGTGAAAACCTTATGAATAGCAGCAGAACATTGTCTGATACAGTGCCGGAAGATGAGCCCCTCAGGTTGGAAGGCACTCAGAATACAACTGGGGAAGAGCTGCCTCCTCAAAGTAGAGTCGACTTTAATGACGTGGATGGAGTCAAGCTTTCAGGATCTTTATTTGCCCAGGTGCATGACTCAAAATGAGACAAAATGGCTGCAAACATCCATTAATAATCAGAATGTAGAATGTAGAAAGTATGAGTCTAGGAAAATTGGAATTCATCAAGAATTAAATGGAATACCTAAAAGATCGATATCCTAGACATTAGTGAGCTGAAATGGACTGGTATTGGTTATTTTGAATCTGATAATCGTATGGTCTGCTATGCTCGGAATGACAAATTGAAGAGGAATGACATCACATTCATCATCAAAAAGGACATTTCAAGATCTATCCTGAAGTACAACACTGTCAGTGAGAGGGTAATATCCATACACTTACAAGGAAGACCAGTTACTATGACTAGTATTCAAATTGGTGCACCAACCACTAATGCCAAAGATGAAGCAACTGAAGATTTTTACCAACTTCTGCAGTCTGAAATTTATCAAACATGCAATTGGGATGCACTGATAATTAATGGTGACTGGAATGCTAACGTTGGAAACAAAGAAGAATCAGTAGTTGGAAAATATGGCCTTGGTGAGAGAAACAATGCCAGAGATCTCATAATAGTATTTTGCAAGACCAATGACTTATTCCTTGCAAATACCTTTTTCAACAGCATAAACAGCGACTATACACATATATGCATTGCATTGGGCAAATCTGCTTCAAAAGACCTCTTTACGGTGTTCAAAAGCAAAGATGTCACTTTGAGGCCTAAAGTGCACCTGACCCAAGCCATGGTATTTTCCACTGCTTCATGTGCATGCGAAAGCTGGACAATGAATAAGGAAGACTGAAGAAGAACTGATGCTTTAGAATTATGGTGTTGGTGAAGAATGTTGAATATACCATGAACTGCCAGAAGAATGATGCCTTGGAAATGTCTTGCAAAAAGTACAACCAGAATGCTCCTTAGAAGCGAGGATGGCAACACTTCATCTCACGTACTTTGGACATGTTATCAGGAGGAACCAATCCCTAGAGAAGGGCATCATTCTTGGTAAAGTAGAAGGTCATTGAAAAAGAGGAAGACCCTCAACAAGATGGGTTGACACAGTGATTGCAGCAATGGGATCCAACACAGCAAGGATTGTGAGGATGGTGCAGGACTGGGCAACTTTTCATTCTGTTGTACGTAGGGTTGCTATGAGTAAGAACTGACTCAACAGCACCTCACAACAACAACAACAACTCTGACATTGCTCTGAGCAGAATAGTAAAACAATAATTTCATGTCCTAACCAAAAAAAAAAAAAAAATTACCTGATATGGCAAAGGTTTATTGAGTGTCTTTTTTAGATTCCATATCAGGTTTCACAGAAGTGCAAAAGCAGTACCTGGAGTGTTTTCTTTATAGAGCATATCACTTAGAGGGATAAAACTGCATATGCCTCAGATAGATAATACAGGCTTGTACGTAAAATGACTTGTGACAGAGAAAGAAAGAGTGATCCTGATATCTGGAGTTGTTTAGAGAATTGTCAGAAATGTTTTGGCACTTCTTTTTTTTTTTTTTTAATTGTACTTCAGGTGAAGGTTTGCAGAACAAATAGTTTCTCATTAAACAGTAGTACACATATTGTTTTATGACATTGATTAACAACCCCCCGACATGTCAACCCTCTCCCTTCTCAACCTTTTTTTTTTTTTTTTTT